ATATTTGAAAATGTTCCTCTAAGCTCATGTTCTGTGTTAAAAAGCATACAGCTCCTCGGCTTCTATGGCACGGATATTTGGAAGCAGGTGGTTTTCCATCGATTTCAGAATGTTACGCTGAATCCGTTGCTGAATCCTATGCTACCAAGGCTGCATCGACTACAAGCGTGGATGCTAGTGACATTAGTGGAATGTTCCCATACGTTGAGTACAACTGTGGCAAGCCTTTCCACCCTGAGTCACATATTTTCAGTTGGTGTTCACCACTTTTTCGATGTGTGTATGTGTGTGTGTCGTCTCTTCGATAGCCGCCCGAGTGGCCGTTTCGTTCCTAGAAAACCAAGAACAGATTGCCGATCAAATGCAGTCACTGTCTTAAAGTGTCAGGATGGATTTTTTACATCTAAAAATTTATTTTGGAGTTAAAATTGCATATATTTTTTATGACACTTCTTCGAATCTTCACGACAGCTTGGATTTGCCTCCTGTGTTTCATCCCAAACAATTACTCTTTAAAAAAAAAATATTCTGGCTGCAATATCTCCTTTCCCTGTTTGTATAATATGAAATGCAGTTTCATGGATGCAATACACTTTTGATGCTTAATTAATGGATTTGCTGAACAATGGCATACAACGAGTTTATTTGCAAAGCAACTGCTGGAAAAGAAAAAAATCAACAACACATTTTACAAATAATTTCACCACACACATTTATACATGTACTATAAGATGCTACAAGATACCTGCTGTACTATAAGTTGAATTTCTAACATTTTCTGCTTGCTGATCAACGGATTTTGCTAAACGAACAGATTCAGAGTTGTTTTTTGTCCTTCTAAATTGTCTAACTGTCTAAGATAATTCAAGCCATAACCAGCCGATGGTTACCTCTCCTAACTATATTAATTCAGCAGCTACAATTTGTCCACAAATCAAACAAATCCGGTTGGGTATGAATCCTGAGAATTGCAAAAAATTGATCTAGCACATTTTATCAGGAACCCCAAATATTTGGGATCAGAAAAAGAGCTGCTAGACTAGCTTCAATTAGGTCACAGATTAAGATGGATCGAAGAAAACTGCTCGTCTACACACTGCTCCATCTGAACTTCACTTTTAACTCTTTTGGTTCTCGAGTTTAAAACGATGTGTTAATCCCCTATAAAAACTTTTATGAAAACGGACGCATAAAGCTAAAATCTTAATTCAGCTTTTGTCTCTGCGCGTTAATGAATCCCAAATAATATACAAGTCTCTGCGTCCTAAGTGTTTCAGAAATTTTAAAAATATGAACAACGACTATCTCTGGCTGGGGGATTGGCAGAGGATGGGAGCCTGAAGTCTTCTGCTGTTAACGTACACAGTCTGGTGTTACTTTTCTCTTGTGAATCTAAATTGCCCTCTAAAAAAATAATTTTTGCTCTTTGAAGCATTCAATAAAAAAAGCATCGGACTGATTTTATTAACTCCAGGTAATTTTGCCTCGGCAAAATGGATTTTAAAAAAACATATGCAAATTTGGCAATGCTGAAGCAATGTTTTTAGCAGACAGGTCAGCGAAAAATGTGCAATAAAGACCTGATACAACTCACAAAACAG